CCCCCCTAATTTCACCTGTACTACAAAATATTTCGATTACAGAAAAATCGGAGATGGTGACTTCCAAAAGCATTTATAAATGAATTTCTGGTAAGAGTGTTGGATTTTTATTTTTTTGTAGAAAATACGTTTCGTTTAATAAAAATATGACGGATTTGATATCCACACTAATTGAACAGTTCGTTAAATATTACACTGCCGACGATTTCCAGAAAGGCCGATGTGCAATTCTTTCATTGTTCTACTTTTTGCATCTATGCATGATAAATTATTTTATTTACCATCCTTGTGATTACTGAATCCTTGTTAAACTACCATGAGGTAATCACTTGCTTTAATGAGTTTTCACAAATTTCAGTGGCCTTGAAATATGTTGTGAAGGTCACTGATCAACTTTTCTTTATGTACATACATGTTACCTCTGCTTAGTCTTTGTATTCGAGATATTCGCGAAAAGTTGTAGTTAAATTTTACGTTGCAATTATATTTTGTATTGGATATTTGTCATTGAATGGTCAAAATCGTATCTGAACGTAAAATTGTCAGCCCTTTTCATTTCCGGTGTCAAAATTGGGGGTTGCTAATTAAAAAAAAAATGGACGACCTTGAAATGATCTTGCAGGACAAGGTCAAAGTGACGACTGAGGTAGCGGTTGGATAGCCAGGGAAATTTCCTACAACTTTTGTCTCAACGAATTTTTGTGTATAACGCCTATGTTTCAAGTTGTTTAAGCGGTCCGGGACTTTTTGAAGACCCTGTATATATACACACGGTATTCCACTGAATGCAAAATGATGTCGAAAATTGATACAGGCTTAAGATAATTTTTTTTTTCAAATATCTCTAAATCGAAAGGAGTCCGACATGTATAACAAGAAGTTGTTCAGAATGATAACCTTGACAACATATTTCAAGGTGATTGAAATCGGAGGTGGTAAAAATAACATTCGTGAGATTATTGGTGGTAATTACTAATGAATGTTCCTAATATATGATACAGAATCTATCTAACGAAGAGAATATTTGTAAATGAACGAGAGTAAAAAAGTACCGGGACAAGAATAACTTTTTACACTTAGGCTATTTATCAGGTATCTGTTAAATGTATAGGAACTAAAATTAGAAATTCTTCGACTCTTCTACTTTTTATATTTATCCATGATAAATTACTTCCTTATCAGGTTTTTACGAGGTAATTATTTACTTTTCCTTTTCTCGTTCTCGAGATATTCAAACAAAGTTGTAGTTAAATTTTAAGTTGCAATTAAATTACGTGTTGGCTATTTGTGCTATATAGAACGACTTAATCTAGCGTGACCCGCACGGGTATCAGTCGAAGATAGTGCGATGCGTTTTATTCGTTCTTAGAAATTTCATTCATATCAGTTATCAATACATCTCGAGTGACGTAGACGAGGCTTTGAAAAGAGCGTACAATTTTATGAATGTTTGCTGCATCTGATGCAAAATACAAATGGTATATTTATACGAACTATTGTGAGAACTATCGAAGCAACATTTACAAATCGTGAAGAAGCAAATTTCAAAAATAACCATTATTTGGTATAAAAGAATTCATATTGCTTTCATAAAGTAAAGTATCAGTATCGATAATATGTCAGTGTTTAATGATGTGTAGATGATCTGTACACCAGTAAATTGCATTAATGATTTATTAGCTGAGGAAACATATTTGAAAATGGATGTCATACGTTTAATTGGAAGATGTCACTACAGTATTCTCTCCATAAGTGTAAAAACTTCGGGTTTCACATTTATAGAATTGGAACTGCATTCTTTGTAATGAGCAGAACATAGACAAGGATGACGACACAAAAGCAAAGAGGGATTGATGATCGAGACGTTCGACAAAATGATTCGTACGAGTTCATTTTTAAATTTAAGAATCAAAATTTTTTATTTTTAGTTTTTCGGGAATGAAACTTTAGCGGATGACGATAGGATAAATAATTATCACCCGAGTATGTACTTGTATCGGGACACATTTTATTATAAAGTTATGTTACCGCTTAAATACTATGACTAACGTCTAGCCAAAGAGTACGGATAGAAGGAATAGTTTAAACCTGCATATTCACCAATAATTTCTTTGTAATAAATATTTTGTCATATCTCTTTAATATATTCATTTGTAATTTCTTGTAATTATATAGTTTTTCATTTTCTTATAAGTTGTAACTTATAAATTGTAACAATCATTTCCGCAATATATATTCTTCAAATATATTTTATGTAGTAATCATTTTGGTATATTCCTTTCTTATTCAACTTTTTAATGTTGTAAAATTGATGCAAATATCTGGAAAGACAATATTGGTAATATACAGAAAATTTAATACAAATGTATTTTAAATTGTTAGAGGTTGACATGAAAGCAGTATTGTTTGATTTAAATTTCCCGTTCGTTTGTACAACCAATTTAACAAGTTAAGTGTGTTTGACGACTGTATTTGTCATGGAGATGTGGCAGAATTTTGTGTCATGGTGACTATATGCATTATACGTAAAATTTTGTTACAACTTTGATATTTAAATTGTAATTTTGGCGAAAACTAAATTATATTCACGAAATATGTAATATGGTTAAAATGTTTATATGTTTAATATGTTTCAAATGTTTAGAGGTCAACACGAAATGAAATAAACAAATAAAAGGTGTAAACGATTTGTGATGGATTCATAAATTCTTGAGAGCTAATTCGTCATCGCTTGATTATCGCGACACACACTGGTATGCGTTTTGCAAAAAGATCATCACAGTTAACTGATTAAAGTCACAACTTTTTTCGAGAAATTAAAATTTTCGTCAGAGAGCATCGCCTCAGGTCAATTGTGTGGTCTAGCGCGAACGGTCAAGAACGAATCTCTCGCTTCCGTACTTCCGTCGAATTAAATAGCCCGCAGCCTGATAAGGACAGCTAGCGCGCCAAAACCTTGAAAGGAAATGGGAATCTCCCAAAAAATTAGAAATCCCCAACGTTAAACTATCCGAGAAAAATCCAAACATTTTTAACACTCCTGCCCCTATGCACCGCTGATGACCTGAGTCTTAAAATCTAAATGCGTACTTTTGAAACACTTTGCAATTTTTACCATTTCCGAAGTTCTTAATTTTCGAATATTCCCAGTAACAATTACCGAAATTATCAATTTGTAAATAAACAGAGTTCCAAAATTTCCAAGTTTTCAAATTTCCAAATTTCCAGATTTTTAATATTCTAAACCTCAAAGTTAGCCACTTGATTTTGAAAATGAAATAGTTTTGCTTTGAACTAGTGTTGCTACAAATAGTTTTGCTTTGAACGATACTGCACAAAATTTCAAATCGAGCCATATTGCGATTTTTCAAAGTCAAAAGTTGGGAAACAAAGATATGAGCAGAACGCGATTGAAGTTTTTGATTATTCTAAAGTAAAATTACTTATACACATACACTTCGCTCAAGTAATTAAGGATTATGTTATAGGAAGACTGTTTGAGCAATAGATAAAGTAGGAACCTTCACGTTGGCCACTTAACACTTTATTGACCGGTCGTTTTTGAGGCTGCCACTCAGTAAGTACCGGCTTAGTCGCGCGCGCACTTACTCCCAGTACCGGCTAAATTTTCGCTATTCATTGTGTCGTGCATATTTCTTTTGTTTCAAAGGAATGTAATTTTATTGATATTTATACTTTATTTTGCATTTATTTTATATAATAGAGGGCCTTATAAACTAACATTCAAAAAATAAATTCAAGGTAATAATAATTCAATTTTTCGATAAGCGTTGGCAATCGAAAAGCCGATTAATAGGCTAGCGGTCGATAAACGTTGGCGATCGAAAAGCCGATTAATAGGCTAGCGGTCGATAAGCGTTGGCAATCGAAAAGCCGATAAATAGGCTAGCGGTCAATAATGTGTTAAATTGTCGTAAATATCCCACTCCATCTTCACAAGTCGTTAAAGTAATGGAGATTATGTGATGAATTATCTATGATATGAACTGATTGATTTTAGATTGTTGTCTTCGAAGGAAATTGGTTGTTGGTTGATTCTCCGCAGTAATGCTTCCGATAATCTAACAAAGAATTTGTGGGCGAAATCTGATTGCAGTTTAGTCATTTATTAAGTGTTCGACGATTATTCGGTTACGTAAAATTGGTAAAAGGTCGAATCTATGACACATCTGTTTATAAATTATGTTTATACTTTGCAGCTTTAAAACAGCTCTTCGTTGCGTTAACATTTGGTTTACGTACATACCCCTACCAAGTATCCATTCAGCGATAATACGATTATATATTTATGAAACGTGAACTCTTCCTTCATAAAATCGCACTTGCAAAGCTAAAGAAGAAATCGCGACACTACTTACAGCGTATTTGAAGAAATTCGCCATAACGAATTAAGAAATTTCAAAAAAAAGGAACATTGTAGAGGAGATAGAAAGAAATTTTGCTGTTTTTGCCATAAAGTCACCATCAAGCTAAGGACAGTTTTCAATTTTCGAGTCGTTAGAGGTATGTAAAAATACCTCTTACTTTTTATATCAATATCCCTTATTAATCTTAGTCAAACTTAAAATTATGTAGCTCCGACAACCTTGACACATGTATTTTGATAACTTGTTTACACAGGGTGGCTCACCACATTTTGCCATCTAGATTTACGTCATTATTATTAGTCATAGCAAAGAATGTTTCAGACGAAGTTAAATTGTTTTTGAGAGGGGCATATGCTGGTGGTATATTTTTTTTGTAGATGGACGTGTAAAGGACATATGAAGGTCATTAATGTTTTTTTAAATGGAATCATATATTTTTTATTGCATCAGCAGATATTCCTTGATATTCTTTACAAAAAAGTTTTAATCTATTTATGTGAAAAGATAATTAATTTAGGAGATATTTTAAGTCTAACTTGTTAGGAAATCGTGACTTTTTGGTCAATATTATGAATTGCCCTAACTTAACAGCAAATGTTTTTCTACATGCTTTAAGAGATCACGTGTCACCAAACGAATTGTGAGTTTTTTTTTTTTTTTTGTTACGCAGTAACAGTGAAATTTTATCTCTTACGTCTCTAATACGATGAATACGGCGATACGGTGAATTATCAGTGAATTATCACTTCATAACGAAGTATTCTAAAGTAGAAAAGATAGACACGTTACATATCAGTTTATTTTGAAGCTGAGAAAAGTGCTACACATGCAGAAAGATTATACACTACGGAATGTTAGTAAGTCATTAATTTTTCGATTCACAAAGTGTTCTGATGTAAATGGTCGCCACATTAAACTTTTTTTGTAAATAGACATTAAAATTAAAATATCTTCTAAACTAATGATTATTTCACATAAATAGATTAATACTTTTTTGCAAAGAATATGAAGGAGTATCAGCTGATGAATAAAAAATAAATGATTCCATTTAAAAAAACATTAATGACCTTCATATGTCCTTTACACGTCCCCCTACAAAAAAAAATATACCACTAGCATATGTCCCTCTAAAAACCATTCAACTTCATCTGAAACATTGTTTGCTATAAGTAATAATAATGGCGCAAATATAGATGGCAAAATGTGGTGAGCCACCGTGTATATTAGGAAGATCGAAGAACAACCTAGTGGATAACGAAATTACACGAGTGCTTACATTCACAATTTGTAATGAACATATATGTCAAACTATGTTTGTAGCAATGTTTACAGTCGGGGAAAAATTTCGAAGTTATGTCAGTAAAAGTTGAAAACTAGAGTTTTCCGTCAATTATGCATAAGGAAAAACTCGTTCAAAATCATGCCACTAATAACGCATTAGGACATTAAAATCGTTCGAAGTTAGTTTCAAAAGTTAACAACAATTTTCGCTAATATCTCGAAAACAAAAGCTTTCCGTCAATTATACAAGAGGAAAACGTTGTCCAGAACCACGCCCCTAACAACATATTCGAAGGACATTAAAATCGTTCGAAGCTGATTTCAAAAGTTAATAACAATTTTTCGCTAATATCTCGAAAACAAAAGCTTTCCGCAAACTTTGTATATGAACAAAATTGTTCAGAATCATGTCCGTGATAAGATATTAAAAGCACACTAAAATCGAGAAAAGTTTATTTCAAAAGTTGCCGGTTTTTTGCAATAACAACACTTTGCAATTAAAAAATGAAAATTTTTTTGATAATGGTACCAATGGGGAGTCAGCACCTACCATATGCAAAAGGTATCGTTCCGATCGGTCCATCCAGCTAGGCGTAATGCGCGAACATACATAGAAAAAAAAAATATATACTGATCGAATTGAGTAACCTCCTCCTTTTTCGAAGTCGGTTAAAAATATTAGAACGCTTCCTATATAGGCTGTTCCGTAACACTTTCCACGATCAAATATTTGCGATAATTTGACGAAAAACTATTTCAAACACAAATTGACCGATTTTCTATTGGCTACATATTTCTTTAAAAAGTACTTGGAAAAATATTTTTTATAATTGCCAATGTAACCTTTCTTTTTTTGGGAAGAACACTGTACTTTTTACTTAATAGTATTATAACAGTGGCGTCGATTAGCGGCCGCCACGTCCCTGCTTAATTTATTATATTTAGCCTAGTCTTAAGGATTTTGGGTGTGAATGAGATGCAATAATGAATTGTTTACCTGGGTCCGAGTGAATGCTGCGTAGCGTTTGCGAGAGGATGTTTGGATCATCGGTTCGAGTGTCACGTTGGGTGTCCGAGTTCGAGGAACGCCTGAGAAATACGCGTGTATCGTTGAATGATTGGTTTAGAGTGAGAACGATTCGGTTTGGAAGAGGAAAGAATGATTCTGGGTTAGAATGCGTCAGGGTGCATGAGGGTGTGTGTTTTTAGTATGAAAGTCAGTTCAGTTCAATTCATCACTGTTAGTCAAAGAGTACGGCCGTGGACCACATTGTGAAATAAACTCGGAAAGTTAAAGGTGGAAAATCAGAGTCTCTATTTTTCCCTGCCGCGTCCTCATCCCATACCTTAATAGCTTAGCCATTGCGTGTTGACATTTCTTCTTTGTTGTGAATTGTCTGGTGCAATTCGTAGATAATTTGGTAAATAAATTTCTAGTAATACAACTTTGAGTTTTAGTAACAAACACAAATTATCATCCGTTAAAGCAGATTACCATTTCATGTTCAAATTTATATTTCTTTGTCTTTAAGACTACCCGAGATTTGGTAATTTAATTCGTCTTTAAAAGATCTGCAATAGTATTAAGTAAAAAGTATAAAATGTCATAGAAGGTAACCCCAATTATTATAAAAAAGTATATATCGAAGTTTTTTCATTGCAATGTATAGCCAATTGAATATTGATAAAAAAACTTATATTGTATCTAGACTTTTGTGGGTGACCGTAGTAGCGGTGCTAATCGAATTCAAAAAGTTAAAGACAAGCGTTTCTGTCAATAATCTGTTTCCTATAATTTTACAGGTATGAAGGTGACGTTTACCATAACAGCTTTCATTCTTTCAATTTCATTGGTATCTGCAAATTGGCACCAGGACCCAGCGTATTGTAACAATGAGACGGTAAAATTAACCGGCTATCTCGGCAAGAACCTGCCACATAATTTCATAGTTTCACCCATTTTAAAATGCATAAGCGTAACACATGGCGAAATCCGGAACATACAGGAAGGTGCATTTGATGATGTGCCAAATTTGATGTATCTAAATCTCGAAAACAATTATATTAGACCACCAAATTTGTTTTCTTTTGGTAATTTGCCAAACGTCAAATCATTAATTCTCGGCAATCAGCTTAAAAAGCCTCTACCATGGGAAATTACTAACGATATCATGGTAGTAAATACTGTGTACCCAAAGCTGTTACATTTAAATCTGAGAAATGATAAAATCGAATCCATTAAAATCAACGTACCTAATCCTTTTCCGAAATTAACGCATTTAGATCTTTCAAATAATCATCTCTCTTGGTTTGACTTGCTGTTGTGGAGTAATACACTTATGCAACTGAATCTTAACAACAATCAAATTTCGAAGATCTGGCACAAAGAACTGAAAAATTTGATATCACTCACAGTTGACGATAACAGGATTTCAAGTGTAGGAAAGAACTATGATCTCGATCTGTCGGGACTGAGTAGTCTGGAATACCTTTCGATCTCCAACAATCCAATCACGGTACTTGATGACACAGCATTCGTCGACACGGCTAACCTTCGGTGTTTGAACATGTCCGAAAATGGTCTAACAGCACTGGAACCAGAAGTGTTTACGCCTTTGATCTCTTTAGAAATAACTATATTGAACAATAATATGTTCCGCACGATACCGTTTATGAAACCTTTAAACATAAGCACGCTGTTAATGGATTGCAATAGGATAACAAATTTGACATCAAACTCGTTATCCATGTTACCAAATCTAAGAAAACTGAGTTTAGCTGGAAATATGATTTCGAGCATTCACGTGGATACGTTTAAATCTCAAGAACTATTGGAAGAATTAGATTTGAGCGATAACGAGTTAAATCACTTGCCAGTACATTGGGATTTGCACACGGAGAACCTTCGATATTTAGATTTATCAGGGAATAAATTTATTTCAATTACACCATTCTTAAGCACGACTATCACCGCATTGGAGCAAGTTTATCTAGACGATAATCCTCTTAAATACGTTGGCGGTAACAGCATAACAATACCAGAAAATATGACGATTTATTTGAACATTGGCCAGAAACGTTCAAAACCCATTTGTGTACGCAGGGGTAAACCAGATCTGATTATAGTAGATTAAAACTCGATAGCAGATATTGAAATTATTAGCTTACAAGGTACTCTAATTAGAATTTGGTAATACTCTTTACATACTTTGTATCACATATATTTGTTTCATTATGTAACAAAATGGATTTAATATACTATGATTTTTTCGTACGAATATATATACCAAAATTTTAAAACTAATGTAAATTATTTTTATGTATAATGTATGTAAGTATTGAATAAATGCAATCAATCAGTCCCTTGACTTTTCTCAACCCTTTCGTTACGGCAAACTAACAAATAAACCTACCGAAGTGTCACTCTCCGATTTTTCTGAAATTTGGATATGTTATAGTCCATGGAAAATTAGGGGACACGTTTTTTTTTTTAATCTGCGGTAAAACATATTTAGGGTTGTAAACGTGGTTTTGTTTATTTAGATACGCCCGGAGACGGGCGTTGCTTCTACGAATTTTGTTGTTATATTTTCTATGAATTCTGTCTGGTTTAAAGCCCAGCCTGGGCTTCTCAGTAAGAATAAACGTGCTTTAATCTATGAATGATTTAAATGGAGGGTTCGGGCCTCCAGGTACTGGATAGCGGAGTGGTCTGACTGGTCGTTAAAGAAAGTTAGAAACCTCTTTCATTTAGAGTTAACATAGGACAATATATATATATATTCTGCAAAGCCAACACATACGTACATACATGTATATTTAACAATAAGTTTCGTTCAATCTAGTGACTTTCAATGAGTCG